TGAATTTCAAACGCTCATAAAAATTTAATTTGACTGTCCGGTAGAGATTTTTTTATTGATAAAGGTAGATAATCTTATAAGGAATCTTGTGTTTCATTTTCAAATCTTAGATTTAAAAAGAAAAATTTTTACGAATTCTTAACTCAAAATAATTTGCTAATTTTCGTGATTTTTCCATATTTTGTCAATTTTTGAACTTTAAATGCTTATAAAAAAAAATTGTGACTAAGGATTTTTAATATTTTTCATCTGCCTTTGAAACAACATATTAGGAGCCTTCTATTAAATTTTCAAGCTTTCGCAACCAACAAATAAAATTTTATTGATATTTCTAGAAAAAAAAACTAAAAAAAAATGAAAAATGAAAATGTCCCTAAACAGTTCAAAATAAATCAAAATATTTTGAAAATGTTATCGTGTATAGAAAATGCAAATATAAACAACCAGTGAAAATTTCATGTATATACGTTCATTTGTTTTAGAGTTACACCAATAACCAAAATCGATTTTTTGGAAAACCAATTTTGCGTAAAAATTCCCGTTTTTCCTTCATTTTTATGTTGTTTTTCCCGGCGCTTGTGAAAACTACTGGGAAATTTATACTTTTGACCCCCCCCAAAGTACCAACTAGATTCACTTTCCTATCAGAAAAGGTACTATTGAAGAAAATCGAAGCACTTTTACTGTCCTAAAACGTGATGACAGACACAAAAATATAAAAATATAAATAAAAACATACATCATTGTAAAACCAATACATTCATCGCTCCGCTCAGAATCTAAAATATAAAAACATACATCATTGTAAAACCAATACATTCATCGCTCCGCTCAGAATCTAAAATATAAAAACACACATCATTGTAAAACCAATACATTCATCGCTCCGCTCAGAATCTAAAAAACGGTTGTAGGTATAGGTATACTTGCAGCTATAGTGTCAAAAACTCAAATATTTAAAAACCGTAATTATATATTAAAATAAAATCGAAAAATACGCAGAAATGTAATTTATTTTTAATCTCCAAACTCGAGTTATTGCAGTACAGAAAATAAAACGTGCACGTCATGTCCTTCTTAGTGACACACTCCAAAAATCTTCTCAACAGTCCAACAAAATATGATTATACATTTATACATAATATTATATGTACGTACTTAATTAAAGAAATTTTTAGGTATTAATCGAGCAAAAAATAAGTTGGGGAACATTTTATAAGAGTGCACTTATTATTTCTAAAAGCAACAACAAAGATAATAACATTTGTTACAGACATTTTCATAAAAATAAATTGTAAAACTTGTACGGTAGGTACTTACCTATTAAGCTGTAACATGTATATACCTAAATGTAGTTTTTTCTGTTACACTGTAGTACTATACCATAAGCGCAAATCGCAGGGGGGCTAAATATTCAGTTTTTTAGTAGTGTGGGATCGAAGCCCCCCTCTCAAGTTGAAATAAAAAATGTTAGCCCCTCCCCCACCACTGAAATTTTAAACGATTTCCTCTTCTGTACTATACACTAATTAGTATATTGCTTATTGGGGCATCTAGTTCTTTCATATTTTTACAGAAAGGTCGTAGAATAATAGAATTATGTGATACTGATGTATAATAATGTTTTCCAATTGAAAGAGGTACCTATTATATTATGAATAATTAAAATTAAAAAATTTAATTTTACATACTTTTGCATATTATTCCGTTGTTATTGCATATACCTACATGCATATTTGAGTAGGTATATTATTAGATAATTCACTGTTTGACTAATACCTACTGCGACGCCTTCAGTTCAAAAAATCAATTCGTTTTTCATGTATTTATTGATTTATTAAAACATCTAATTTCGTATAAATATAATAATGTAAGTACTTATTACTGTTTGAAAATTTAAATTTATTATAAATATACAAATAATATATTATTGTCAAAAGTGTATATCCCCCCCCCCTTTCAAAAAGGCTGAACACGAAACTGTTTCGGCCCATTGAAACAATGTATTTACTCATCACTTCATATTATATATACTTCACCTATATGCATTTAGCCATTTAGGCCTATAATCTGTACTGTGTAGTAAATAATTAGCATAATCATAATTTGTACTTACCTATTACAACAGTTACCAGTTATTGAGTTATTAATCATAGCGGTACTTGGATTTTGAATTAATTTTCAATCACCATTATTGAAGGTGTTTTAAAATAAAAATGTACGACAGTTATTGAGGAAGTTGGAGGTGGAGAGGCGTAGATGAATGCTGCAGTTCTCTGAACTATTTTGTACAACCCCTGATAATCTGCGCAATAGTTACTTCACTGATTATTTGCATGTTATAAAGTACACAATTTACTATTTAGAATAGGTACAGATTATAAAAAAATATTTACAATTTAATTAAATTGTCTTTGTGTCTGCAGCAGACGTCTGTCTGAAGTTGAATATAACTTTATTTTAATAATATTAAAATGTCATTATTACAAAAATCAATTAGGTATAATACAATATAATATTACATAGGTATTATTATAATTAAAAATACATACATATTGTAAGCTCATAACATTATAATGTAGAGGAAGAAAAGTGATAGACAGGAGCTGTATCAGTCAATATGTCTAAATGTTTAAATACACTTTTTTAAACATCACTCAAAGTCCAATTTCTGCAAACTTCTCATTGCAAAACTAACTTATGGATAAGTGCGCATGCGAATATTATGCAATTACAGTGAAATATTACTGCTGTCGATAAATATTAAATGAAAATGTTGAGATTCGCCTATGAAATACGAAACCAGATTAATTTCAAGTAGGTATGCAATTCGTCTTTTAACCTGCATACTCTAGGATATTAGTAGAAGGACTGTCTGTTTTAATGTGTTTACAATTTACTTCACAATATATAGGTACCATAATATTATGAATTATCTTCAACATTGGGACAGTTAAATCTGACATTCTGGGGGTGCTAAGGGCCAGTTGTACCGTCTATGATTGTGGTTAATCAGAGTTTAATCGGCCGAATTAATTTAAATATCGGCCTAAATATCTGTTATCAACTAATTAAGCTTAATCATAGTTTAACCGTAGACGGTACAACTGGCCCTAAGACTGTATAGATAACTTGTCGAGATATTATGCACTTGAATACCTTACCTACGTAAATCTTAAATACATAAAGATAATAAAATATATAAGTAATTAGGTATATAAAATCAAGTAATATATTATACAAACACACATACTTTGTCTTATATTGTATCAAATAAATATATTATAACTTAATACTATTTATTACTTAGGTACATATAGGTATATTTATAATAATTAATAATAAAATGATAAGGTACCTATTTTATATAATTACAATAATTTACATTACCTACAAATTACAATATTATTGGTAAGCAATTTTCAATAAATTGCAAAGCATTAGGGAAGATTGTAATTTATCTAGATAATAAACACGACAACTCATATCGTTGCTAGATATAGCACTATTAAGACTTAAATATTTTCTAAAAATAGTAAAAATATAAATAAATAAATATTCATCTTGACACTAGGGTGAAGCTGGGTAATTCAGATGGTATATAGCGACTAGCTTACTCTACTTAAGTTGACGCCACAAAGCACAAGCCACGAGCATAGGCAGAAATTATATAGGAGGGTTTATTCCCCCCCCCCCCCAAAAAAATTAAATTTGTTTTGACACATTTAATTATATGATTTGTACCTACTAGGTAATTTGTTTTTTTTTTAAATTAATTAAGTCCCTCAGTATTGCCAATAGATGTCCACCTATGGCCACAGCCCACAAGGTAATTACTATAGTGAGATGTGCCCATATTACGCCGTCAAGAGCCACTCTAAAATCAGTAACATTTATATAGTATAGATATAAATTCTATTTCAAGACCAATGTTAAATTTAAATAAAAAATTTGAATTTTGTCGGACGTCATAATGCTCTGTAAATACAATAATAATTACTAGAAAGAAAAGCAGTAGCAGGTAACTCCAGGTCACTTACTGCTCTGTTTGTCCTATAGTATTTGGACATTTACTGCTCATTTGTTTCTGCTTTTATTAATGCACTGATATGTGCATAACGCATTAATGTCTTCTTTGTAAGGTTATGAGTATGAAATATTTCACATGAAATTTTCACTTTGAAGTATTTCAAACTTGAAACTTTCACCCTTCTTGTAATATTTCAATTAAATAGTAAAAAATATATATACATTTTAACTGTGTATTTTGGTATGTCTCATCAAATCATCACTAGATTGTCATAATATACTGATTTCATACCTATGATTATCATTGTTTAATTCCGGATCATGATATAAAGATGATTAAATAATATTATGTAAATAAATTATATAAGACAGATAATATTGTTATGTAGGTAATTTGTATAATGTAGGTACTATGTAAGAAATATTTCTTTAATGTTGTTCATTATAACACTTAACTAAGTAGAAGTGTTTACTGTGCTTTCTAGTTTCTACTATAGTTTTAAATTCAAATAAGTTTATTTTATTTTTCATCAATATGAAATATTTCATGAATGTTTCGTGAAATATCTCAAAAAAATAAATTTCTAAAAATTTTAGAACCCGGCTTCTTTGTTATTTTCTCATATCTATTTCATATTAATTTCTAATGACGAAAACCTTAATTTCTATTATACAGAAATCGATAGAAAATATTGAAATATCTATCAAAAACCACCAAAAACTTGAGTTCGACAAAATGGAGTCACTGCTTATAGTGACTATTCCGACGGCGGTAAATCATAACATCGCTCTATAATATCGTTTTCACGGTTGTGGGCTCAGTGGGCAAACTCAACGCGAACGGAATATAATAATAATTAAGTATAGACACTAAAATTACTATAAAATTATAATATATCATATTGTCTAGTTGATAGTCTATACAACAGGTAGGTGATAAGCGTAGTGGAGAGTTCGTTTCGGTCTCGGTATCAATACTCTCCGTAATTACTGTAATAATCATCGTTCTTATTGTCGTCGTAATAGTCGTCCTCCGCGTCTTCTTGTCGGTAATCCGGAGGGGCCAGCATCCCGTCGCCGAATTCTTCGGCAGCGTCTCCCAAGCCGATCATATTGGCGAAACCGTAAATCAGCCTGAAGAACAGTAACTTGATGAACTTCATCATGGTCGTCTCCTGCTGTTTCTTCAACTTGGAACCGTAGGTCCACTGAAAAATTGCAAGCACAGACATAAATAAAGTTTACGACAGTCGTCTGACGATCTGTTTGTTTCGTTTCGTCTACCTATACAACTACTCACTTGTATCACACAAAACAGAGCGAGACATAGGGCTAACAACAGGTGTCGTCGCAGTGTCATCATCTCGCTCTCGCGCCGGCGAAGGAATCGATTGGAAGTAATAATATCTTTTGGTGTTTCACATCACGTCAAGCCTGGAAATTATATTAGAAATATGAATTTCGAAACTTAAAGCGTCTGCACGAAGAATTTATATTCATATAAAGGTATATACACAATATACGTCGACATCATATCTTTACATTTTTTATGGTGTATGGTATAAATGTCTTAAGTTAAAATTTGACATTTTTATATTTTGTTGGTACAGATCACGTAAGTCAAAACTATCAGTGAAATTTGTTTTGGTCTATACATTTTAAGTCACATTATATTGGGTACAAAACACGTATGTCTAGTAATGATTTGAGAATATGACGGACATAATTTTAAAATTGTCTTAATATCTTAATTCGAGTTTAGTAATAATTTTAAATGCATGCCTTCATAGCGTAATAGTCGTATAAAATAAAAATCCAATTAACTTGAGTCACTTAAAAATAATGAACAATTAATTTCAAAGTTCTACTTAATAGTTAACATAAAAGTTGGTACGTTGAATATTAAATTAAATTAATTATCAGCCCCCAGACATTATTGTCAACGGTTTTGATTGATTTTTCAATGTTTTGTTTAATATTCCTGAAAACTAGTCGTTTTTGACTCAAGACATATTTTATACTATGCATCAAAGATATATTATTATTACGACGCACAATATGCACTAAAAGGTGCGTATTTTCGAATTCAAATCTATAAATAATACATGTTATGTTGATAGTATAAAAAAAAAAAATTAGAAACTATTTATTACTACCTAAACAGTACATAACCTTACCTACATATACGGCTAAGGGGTTACAGTCGGTCATGTTTTAAGGAGTAAGAATCAGGCAAATTATATGTGACAGGTACATCCGGTTCGTGTCAATGTGTGAGAATGTACATTAATATTACACACCGAAGAGTATCTCAACACGTTCTCGTACTGGCCCAGACAAATGTCAGTAGGTATATTAAATTAGAAATAAGTATTCGGTTACTATAAATTGTCGAGTAGAAACACATAATATACCTACGCCTCGACTGTGTCAAAATTGTAAGACTTTGGCTGATTTTAATTCCGTTATTTCTGTGAAAATCTTATAGTATTTGTTAACGTCGGCTCCTCTAGAGAACGGCCGAGGATGTTTTTAGAAATATGAATTTCTTCAATACACATGAATTATACGATTCAACAAAAATGTTGCAATAACTGAAATTTGTATAATATTACAATACTGTCAAAAATCGAAAAAAGTGCTTCGAATGTTCTATTCGAAAGAGATGTCAGAGGAGATGTTATTATTCTTACATAACTAAAGTCTCACAATCTTGTCACAGCGGAGGGGCTAAAACGATTTTTTTTTGTAGGACTATAACAACCTTAAACACTGTGTCTGTGTAAATCAATGGCAAAGGTTTTTTTTGGGGGGGGGAGGGAGGGAAACATTTTGCAAACAATGTTAAATACATATTTATAAAAAAAAGAGTCTACTTAGTTATTATAGTAATTCCTGTTCAGTACAAAGGAATTTTACACTATTAATTGCCTATGTCAAGCATGACATGCGTCACGTCAGTCTAATCAGCTATAATAGTTAAGATATTACTACACGCGAAAGGTTGACTTATTATATATACAAAGTAGGTATAAAGTATAGTTATTAGTTATTAGTGTTATTACTTATCATAGTATTTTAGGTACGTATCAAAACGAATATTATTGTGAAACCTAAATAATAAACTTATAAATTCGCAGGCATAGGCGCAATTTGGGGGGAGGGGGGTGCTTGGGGGAGCTTGGGGGTGCTTAGCACCCCCAAATTTTTGATAGCATCATCGAATTTTTATTGACTATAAAATTATGATATAGGTACTTGGATACAATTATTTTTAAGACACCTATTCATAATAATAATGAATAATGATACATAAGTATTAGAATAATAATATAGGTAAAAGTGTATTTATTTGTATTAAGATTAATGAGAAGGTGTATAGAAGGTGTATAAAATAAAGTTGTATGAATGAAAGGGGATGTGCAGGGCAAAGCCCCCATTTATTTCGATATAAATCTAGCACCCCCATAAGTTCAACCCAAATTGCGCCTATGTATAAAACATCTTTATTGTTTTTAAATTTTATTCCTCATATTATGTTTTACGTAAAAACTATATGACGTATTCTAAGTGCTAACACAGCTAAATTGCCACGGGGGGACATGGGGGCCTAATTATTATTAGAGCAATAAACTAATTAGACTTTCAAGCAAATCATATTTTTTCTGGTTTAAATTATCGTATGCTTAGTAAACACACAATAAACTTCACAACACTCGTGATTCAATAATCAACGTTTTTAGTTCATATTTTGATATTTTTGGGTTTAAAGGATATATTTTTGATGAAAAGAGCATATTTTGATAGGCAGTAAATATTTTTCATGGAACAAAGTCAACGATTATAATATATTTGAATGGAGAATGAGATCTGTATTGGCTGTATTATTGTTTTTTTTATACATATATAGGTACATAGAAAACTAAATTAAGTATAGGTAATATTTAAAATAAATAAAATGTTTAAAAAAAATGTAATAGTTTTATTTTTGGAGTACAAGTAAATTTAGGTACCACTTAGTAAATAATAATATTATATGAGTAATTAAAATATACAAGAAAAATACAATTTTTTAGTCTAATATGGGCTTGTAATTTTTTTTTAGTGCACATAAACTAAATGCATATTGTTAATTGTTTGATGCACAAGTGTATATTTTTAAATGTATATTTGATGATTTCTGGTGCATAAAAATCGTCGCTCTACAGTAATTGTATATTATTATAGTAGGTACCTGCAGTTACTGTAAACCGTGTAAATGGTACCTAAACAAGGTGTATAGCACTATAATCAGCAAGGGTAGGTACCTAGATATTTTTTTCATCGATATTGATCTCCGAAGGATATTAACATCGACAACAAAGGCCATTAGTTACAAGAAGGTTAAGAATTGGTGTGATTAGAGATAAGTCATATAATTAGTAGGGCCCGGAACTTGATGCATTTGCATCTTTTTTTCTAATGCTTACATACGAGGCTCGTCTTTACAGAAATTTGATTCATGGAATTTAGAATTTAATGCTAACATTTTTATTTTGAATTTTTTACATTTTTAAGGAATTTATTGCTTTGCGCTCATTTTTTAGGATTTTTGGTGCATTTTATTAATTTTTTACATTTATTTGCATTTTTCTTGTTGAAAGTTACACTTTATCGTAACACATTCAGTTTCCATTAGCTATTGTCGATTATCGACGTTCATTATCTTTATCGTTTGTTGTCGCAGTCTACGATTATTCAATAAACTGTAGAACGACATTATTTTAGACCCGGTCAATTAGAAAAAATTTCCCAAAAGTCGATCAAATTAATTCAAACTTCAAAAAAATTCGTTTGAGAGTAAACATTTTTAAAAAGCTAGAACCTATAATAAGTACGATTTATGACCCATGAATTGTATAAAACGTAATTATTGTAAAACTTACATTTTTAAAAATGTTAAGTCATTATAAAGTAATTTTTAGTATTTCTGTGGTAAATTTTTGATGTTTATAAGTCATTTTAACATTTTTTTTGTGTGCATTTTTTAAAGATTTTTAGGTCATCAAGTTCCGGGCCCTAATAATTAGGTTACATTTTTTTTTTTTTTTTTTATAAGATTGAACAATTTTGTTCTTTTCATAAAATTAATTATATCTAGGTTTTTTTCACGATTGGGTCCGAGTGTGGTGTCTATGTTGTGAGATATCCTAAGCTCAGTCCGTTCTTGGTTGGACACTAAACAATCAGATGGTTAACCCCTAAACATTTGTTGCTTCTAGCTGAATGTGGATAAAACCGAATATAATATTTTCTAATATTTCCATTTCCTTAGCTATTAACGCATGAATATAAATCGGGAACTAAGTATTAAATGATTATATAGAACAACAGAGATAGCAATTATTATTATCATCGGTCCGTCGTCTGAAATTCGATTGTAAAACCGTAGGAAATCATTTACTTGGGTACTATACTTATTTATTCATAAACATATACAGGGTGATTCTTTTATCGCGAAACACTCGTTATTTCAAAAAGTATTAATGTTTTGAAAATACATTTTTACATTGTTTCAAGTTGTTAAAAAAATCATATTTTCATATATTGTTTTCTTTATAATTTTTTTAAGTTTTTTACTTTTTTGAATGGTAACATAGAGTTTTGATTTCATTTTCCAAAGCAGAATATTTTTCTAAGTATTTTGATTGATAAAAATTGAATTTAGGGCTAGTAGTTTATGAGTTATAACTTATAAGTATTTAAAAGTATTTAAAGTTTTGATGGGCGGAGTAGAGTGGTACGGGGTTACCCCGCAAAATGTTTGTCCATTACTCAGCTTGTAACTCCTCTTATAAACTACTCGTCCTAAATTCGATTTTTATGTATCAAAATACTTAGAAAAATATTCTGCTTTGAAATATGAAATGAAAACTCTATGTTGTCATTCAAAAAAGTAAAAAAATTAAAAAAATATTTAAAAATATAATTTTTATTACACACTTTTCTTAAGTTCGCTTTCACGTCTGTTTGTCTGTAATCAAATCTTGCGCGCTCGATTTGAGGCACTTTTTGACGATGAAAAATTCTGAAAATTTGTATAGACCTTGGTCTTGGATGACAATACAATAATCCGTTGTCATTTTTGTTTCTTTTTATTAAATATAATAAATTTGTTTCATAAATATTTTTTAAACGTTTAATAACAAAATTAACTTTTAACTAAAAAGTAGAAAAAAAAAAAAAAAAATTTTTTTAAAAACACACTTTTCTAAAAAAACATTTAAGAAAAATATATTTGAACTAAATTGAACAAAAAATATTTTAAAAATTGCACTAAAAAGACGAAAATCATTTTCTGTACAAAAAAAATAATGGAAAATT